TTTGGGGCCTTCCTGCCCTGGCCTCCTCGGGCAGGAGCTCCGTGCCCGAGGGTTGCCTGTACCCCGATGGCCGGTGTCTTTCGGCCCTGCTTCTTTGGCCCTGTTCCCTCGCAGGAACGGGGTGGAGCAGTTTGTTTTCACTTCCATGCCTTGCCTCTTGGTCTTGGACTTACTGGAGGAACTCTTGCCGTTCATGCTTTCATGGAGAAAGGGTAATCCCCTGCTTAGGGGCTGAATGACTTTCAGTACTCTTAACACAAAGTATCTTGTGCTTGTAAGACGTTTGTCCTCAAATAATCCCTGTAAAATGAGGTAACGTGTTATTCTTGCTTGGCAGCCAAAGAGCCAAAGGATGGAAAAAAATCAATCCGAAATGTAAAAAAAAAAAAAACAAAAACCCACAAACAAAAAACCACCCTTCCTACAATGTGCCTTTTCATGTCACGCTTGGGACTGCTTTTCTAAGTGTAGTTAAATCGTGTTCTCACGTTTCTCTGCAGCCGGGACAGCCAGGCGCAAATGCCTTTGTGCCAATGACAGCTGAAATTCTCAATACGTTCTTTGCCTCTGATAGGTGTGAGGATAATAAAGTAACTGTTATCTGACTCACAGTCAAATTACAAGAACTAGCAGTACCTACTTTAAAACTTTAGGCAAGACTTTGCAGAACCCATAGGAAGTTCTGGTCCCTAATCAAGAGCTTGCAATGCCCCATTCTTACAGAAGAGCACTGGCAAATACCATTCTGCAAAATACCTGTTATTACACAGCAATGCCATTTTATGCATTGGCAATAACAGCTGCCAAAACTAGTCTTACGAAGTCATTAACCTAAAGTGTCCTTGAATAATATTGAACACTCAGGCTGTGACCCAGTTTTAAATGTAACCTAATGAAAGATGCTGGCAAGCAACAGGAATTGCGGACTGGGGCAAGTGGAACAAGGTTAGAGTAATAACTTTACAATTACCAGGGCATGTTGTAGATACCCTTTACCCACTATCATGTTTTCTCTCCTCGATTATATGGCCTCTTATAAATGAGGATGGAATCTGTCCCACATTATGAAATTGTAGACCAGAATGCAGAGGGCACAGATCCTTGAAGTCTAATATTAGGTTTGCACGCCACTGAGTTACTCAGCAGGACCAAACTGATCTGAGTGAGATGCAAGGCTGCTACTACACTTGAATTAAATTAGGTCAGGACACAAAATACAAAGTTGACAATTCCTTTGTGCTCCTACGCTGCTGTTGTGCCAACTGCAAAAGAGAGATCTAATTAGCATAAGTTCACCAGCTAATTCTTCCATTTGGGGCTTTGTTTTAAACAAATTCAAGCTGCATAGTGAATTTGTATTGGGTCAGTGCTTTGTATCATGGAGCCTCATCATTTTTGATCTGGCATCAGGAGTGTTAAAGCTGGAATGACAATATCAAACCAGAGCCTAATTATTGCCTCAGAATTTGTGCTGGGTTGAACAGTTTTTCCCTTTTGCTACTTTCTTCCCATAACCTTCAGCTACATCAGTAACATGACCCAGGTCAGTGCACAGCTACATAAAACATCTGTGCTGGGTTAGGGGTCAACATGGAGATAGGGCATACAGCTGCCTCGCCTGGCAGTGGAGCTGGTGCCAGTTTAACCATTGATCCCACCAGAATTTTGGCTTGGCATAACCACGGCTTCAGCTCTTCAGCATAGCTAATCAAGATTGCATTTCAGTGCTACTTGTGGAAACATTCCAAAGTTTTTCTGAAGCTACTTGCTTCTCTCCTATTTGTGGCAATGTATATGTTGTGATCCCATTAGTGTCCAGTTGTATCAGTGAGATGATCCACATGGTCACATCATCTAAAGATGATGGTGGAAGTCATGAACTGTTGCTTCTGGTGACTGTGATCATAGACCAGCTTAACTCTTGATTTTCCCATAATCATGGCAAGACAAATTTCTTGCCACTGCTTTTCATCTTAATGTCATGTCTAGATACTTTCAAATGTGTTACTTGCCTTTGGTGTTTCTGAACTATCTGCTGTGTTCTTTCCACTCCATTGAGACACCCTCACACAGATCTCTAACTGTGGGTCACAGTTGCAACCATCCTGCAATTTTAAATGATGCCTCTGTTTAAACAGCTCCTATGGAAACCTTGAAGTGTTGTTTTCTGTTATTTTATATTATCTTAGTTTGTCTGCTTCCACAGTGAATTTAATTTCAGGGCATATTTTTCCTCACCTGTTTTCAAAAAGCTTGAAGGCTTCGAGCAAAAGGCTTTTTTTGAAGGCTCATGTTTTTACCTTCATCTTTCTTCTTTCATGCAAATTACTGCAACTTCCATTTTGTGCCAAAGATTTGAAAATGTATTTTCTTACGTTGACTCAGGAAAGCTCTTAATCCAAAACATATGTCCCACACAGCAGTCACTTAACGAATTTCATGTGGGTTTTTTTTTTTGAACTGCCATATACCTTTGTCAAGTTTATTAGATCACTACCTTTATTGTAGTTGTAGTGGTCTGTGTGTATAAGCACAAAGTTACAATGTATGTTTGCTCAAACACCAGAATGTCCTGCTTCTCCTAGCTTTCCAACAAACCCTCTGCCTTTAGATTGTGTCCTTGCTCTTGCTCCATCTGTGGTAGTCATCTGTTCAGTAAACCGGTTCAACTTGACAACTAGGCTAACCTTTTTTCTTTAGTTTAGTTTCCTGACAGGTTACTGAGTTGAAGGGTTAAAGAATGCCAGAGCTGGAGGGAGGTGAAGGCAGTAGGGAAGGGAATGGAACCTCGTACCTGAGTGGCAAAGTAAGCCATCCTGTGTAACTTCAAGAAAGATAAGGATTGTAGAGGGAGGCAGTATCTTTTATTATAGTAGCTGATATCGCAAAAGCAGAAGCAAGCTGTTCCTAAAACTTACTGGACATAGCTGCATTAATATTATTTCCTCCTGCAATTCTTGCTTCTTATTCTATATTGAAAAAAATCCCAGACTTACTTCCAATCCCCCTCATTTTCCATCAGTGTTCATAATGTTATTGGTGCTAGTAATGCTTTACAGGAGGTGAGGCATGTAGTTTGAACTTTTTTGAATGTGCTTTGCTTCTAGATTGCAAACAAGCATACTTTGTCCTTGTCTGTTGTTTCCCTTTCCTTCATAAAATCTGTCAATAATACACTCAAATGTTGAAAATTATTTTTTTCCTCTCCTTCATCTACTAAATACTAAATTCTTGTATCTAAGATACTAAGAAAAAGGGTGTGGGAAAGAGGGGAAAGCAAAAAAAAATCTTATCAGTGTTTATGTGTAAACAAAGGTAGCGTTGGCAGCACTTCAAATCCATCATTTGTCCTCAGGTCAGAGAGATAAATAGGAGCTTTTAAGTGATTTTTGTCTATCTTTCATTCTGATTCTTTGCTTACTCTTGTCCTTTGCTTTTATCAGTTCAGGTTTCACATCCCTGCACATTTTTATGGGCTATCATCACCTTCACTGAAATGGTTGCTCCCTAATTCTCTCAAGGGACTCTCAAGCTGCCAGTGCCTTTAGATGTTCTCTGTTTTTTTTCTCACTGTCACAGTCTTCTACCTACTACATGTCATGGATTGGGACATCATCAGTTATGTTTTGTTTGCTACAGCAATTGTCAAGGAAGACAAAGCATTTGGTTGCCCTCAGTTATGTCTGCAGTACTGTGGTTATCTGCTATTCCAAGTACAGGGAGGTGATAATAACTGCTGGCATATGCTGGCATCCTGTTGGTAACCAATAAATCCAAGCAGTCACAGAGGCATCTTTCTACAACTACTTCTTACCTAGCTACAGGTCGTAGTATTGTATCCCTGCCTCTATCAGAGAGTTCACTGAGTTACCCCAAGCTCTGCTGTTGGTTGTGACAAACAGAGGTATTCCCAGATGCTTGGCTGCTGTTTGTCATGGTGGACATCCTCCATTTGTTCTCAGACACAGAGATGTTCTCTGCAAGCCCCTCTCCCAGTCGACTGCAGTCAAGTGTCAGAGATCTTCAGTGTCAGTAGTATAACTGGGGAAAATACAGTTTTTAGAGTCAGTTGGGAGACTGGAGAGAAACACTATTTCTCATTACCTGGTTGTTCCTTTAAGTAGACATATTTCAAGAATGCTTTGGCAGAATACCAAACATTAGTTGGTTTAGTTTGTATAGTTACAGAAAACTTTTTGGAAATGCTTTAAAGGAGAATGCTGTCAAAGCTGTTTGTTTAGAAGTGTCTGGGTTTGGTTATCAATAAATCCCAAATTAAGCCAGCATTAGACCCTGAAATTTTACGTATTAAAACTTGCAATATCGCCAGATGCACTTCTGCAGAAAGAACAGTCAGGCCCTGAAGATTTTCATGCTTGATTTTCATTATTTTCTTTGCCTTGAGTGAAGGAAGAAAAAAACCCTGTGGTGTGGCTTCAGCAGATTCATAGAGGGATCTCGCTCCTTTTCTGGCGTTCCAGCTGATAATTTTAGATGGAATACTGACTTTGAAATACAGTCCCATTGCTAAATTTTAGGAAGCAGTGTACACAGCTCAAAAATACGTAAAATGTGTTGTGCAACGTTTCTTTTTGACATGCAGTTCCATCACCACTTTTTTAGTGTTTGGCCTCCAAATAATTGTTTCATATAATTTTGCATTCTCCTGGCTTTTTATAAATCTGATGTGAATTTTCAAGGAAATAAAGATAGAGCTATAGAAATATATATTTACATGGAAGAGAAAGAGAGAGTTTTCATACAACCTTGTATTAAAAATTTTGCTAAGATGTGTAACTGTCAATTCAGCCCTTTTTTAAAAGATTGTCGTTAGTTAGGCACATTACGCATCATTAATAAGCTTACAGGCTTACAAGCAGTAATCTACTAATAAAAATAAAATAGTTTTCTTTCTACTCCTTCTTATACTTTCTTAAAAACTTTAGTATATTAATTTTATAATGTAAGTAGGATCCAAACACACAGAGTTGTGGGAAAAATTAGTAGGGAAAACAAAAGCTGAACTACTTCAATAGTAACAAATCAGTGCTTATGGCTGAAAAGAAGGCAATGGTGTTCCAAGATGGTAGTGATTATGTCTAGCTAGATGGATGGGGATTTGTACTGTTGTGTGAACAATGCATATGAAAGACAAAGCTGTCTGATGGTTAAGCAATTCAAATGGTTCAGAAGTTAAACTTCCTTAACATGA